GTTTTTGATTATATGTATATGTATATGTATATGTATATGTATATGTATATGTATATGTATATGTCTGTGTGTGTTTGTGCATGTGAATGCAGGTGCCTACAGAGGCCAGAAGAGGGCATCAGATACCTTAGGGTTAGAGTTACAGGCAGTTGTGAGTTGCTAGATGTGAGTGCTGGGACCCAAACCTGGTTCCTCTGAAAGAGCAGTACAAGCTCTTAACTGCTGAGCCACCTCTCCAGCCCTCATCCACTTTGTCTTCTCTTCTATACAGATCTGCACTAAGTCCTGGGATCTCAGATACTATACACAGCATTAACTAGTGATGGAGCCAGAGGATGCATTAAAATGTAGTATTTTTTACTATAGAATGGCATTGTTGGCATTAAAAATACTATTCATTTTGTTTATCCTAATTCTCATCTCCTTTTTTAGTTATTTCTTAGAAGTGATTTTAACATTGTGTATACCTTTTTATTATTTGCCTTTCAAGAAAAAGTCCAAAATGCATGATTTACCTACTCAGATGGGAAGTCTGTTTCATATCTCCAACTTAGACACATTATTGTTGCATAAAGGAACTATATTGATGGGTCCTTCGGGATTAGCAAATTACCTTGGGGTATTGGAATTTAGAGTTATTGGGCTACTAATTCTCCATCCTGAAGCAAGGCTCTTAGCTAGAGATGTCAAACAAATGACTATAATGTGATCTATGCTGTATCTGTTCTCGGATCCTCATAGCTCTCCCTGCCACCTCTTTGAGGATCCTCTCTGTATTTCCCAGAGTTTTGAAGCTTAGTCCAATGATGTTCAACACGAATGTCAATTTGTCTTCAATGTTGTTCACCCCAAATGAGGCCTCTGCAGCCAAGTGCCCCCCGCCTTGGGTTAAAGACATGCTTGTGCTAAAGTGACCTGACCCTTTGCCATCCTACTCCCTGGCTCCAGGGAGTACTGGGATACTAAATGAGCAGGGAAGAATATGGCTAGTTTTTTTGGTTTTAACAGAGAATTAATGCTAAGCTTTCTGGGGCTGAGCTTTCTGAGGCTGAGCTCACTGAGCCACCCCGTCCATAGACCCTTCTAGCACCGGTTGTCTTAGGAATTGTGAACGTGTTGGGAGTTTGAATGGTAGCACAAAATACAACTTAGACATCAGCAGATGAACTCTGACAGACTGAACCGCAAAAATACCAGTTCTCTTCTCATGGGTATCATGAAAACACCAACAGATTAATTGACCAATTATCTTTGTTTCATTGTCCTAAGAAGGAAATATGACCATGAAGGTATAGCTTGTGGTTATGGGGCTGATCCAAGCTAAGGAAGTTAGGACAGAAATAACTATCACCAACAATTAACTCTGCTCCTGCCTCCACGGCCACAAAAGGGGTTGCTGTACATTTTTACCACTATTTCATGGACATTAGGTTGGTTATTAAGAAGAGTGAGGCTCCTGGGATGTTTCCATCCTCATACTGGTAACCTTAGGGGGATCCGGCAGTTTCCAAAGCTGGCAGCAACCCTCGGTCCCTGCCCACAGCTTTCTGTCTGATATGCTTCACTGCCTCCCTCTGAAGACCTTTCCTGCTACCTCTCTACCCTGGGAGCGGCCAGTGTGGGCGGTCCTTAAAACGAAGGCAATTAGAGCAGGAACTCTGGCGAAAAGTCTGTGTCGACCTGCCAGAGACTGTGGCAGTCCAAACACACAGCTGTAAAAAAATAAATAAAGGAGGGTGTGAAAGGGGGTAGTTAGTGATGTTTTCAATCTAAGAAGGAAGAGTAGGTGTTAAAAAATTTAGTTCATCAGAATCAGCATTTCCTAGTACAAGTCAGTGTCAGTAGCTAAAGAAAAAAAAGACGATTATGAATGAGTATGGAGGAGGCCATGCTCAGACATGCAACACTGTGACAGAAAGGGCACAGGGGGCTGGCACACTCATGCTGATGGAGGGAGGTTGGGAGTCCCATTTACACAGAGTCCTTGGACACTGACTTTGAAAACATATCTCTGTGGAGTCACTGTGACCGCTACAGGTGCATGAGGCCATGTTAGGACTGAACTTTGTATGAGCAGAGTTCAGCTCACCACAACAAACTCACTCCTGTCCTCCTGGAACAGGTGCTTGAGCTTACCTGTCCTCTCTAAGCAGAGTTCTACAGGCTCAGAGCCAGTCATGTGGAGAACGGGGCTCAGTCCTCGGCTTAACCTTCCCTTCCCTTCTCTTTCATTCAGTGTTGTAAGTGGAACATCCAGCACATGGAAGTGCATCACAGACTTTTTTTTCAGGATGGAGGGTGGAACAGGGAACACTGAGTCTCATCACCCATTGGCTAAGCAAGCCCTAACAAGAGAGACGCTCCCAGCTCATTGAAACCTTTTGAACTCTGGCAAAACTCACCTGAGTCCTTGCAAAGGCCCAGGGAAAGGAGGGCCAACTGCTCTTAACTAAGCTTCACTTTCCTCTCGTCTAATTTTTACTTGCTCTAATATCACCATTCTATTATTATTTTTAAAATTAAAGGTCTTGTCCTGATGCTGAAGGTTTACCTGAACAGCAAGTCTTCTGCTTGCTCTTTGCAAATAGTAGAACAGGTCTGTGATGGATGGGAGTGTACAGTGATGAGGGGGGTAACTGCAGCTTTGGAATTCTATGAGGCTCACAGTGGCTTTTTCAGTACCCTATCTATTTATCATCAATCTATCTGTCTGTCTATATTTATTTATCTATCTTTTTCAGTAATCTATCATCTACATATCTATCTATCATCTATCTTTCTATCGTCTATCATTCTTTCATCTATTATCTATCTATCTATCATCTATCTTTCTATCTATCTATCTATCTATCTATCTATCATCTATGAGATACAAAACCATAAATGAAAGGAAATTAGTGGGGGCTATCATCTATCTATCTATCATCTATCTATCATTTATCTATCTTCTGTCTATTGGCAGCCAAGATCAACACTAACGGGTGCTTTTAGGACAACTGAAGAAAACATCTCCCATAATTTCTGGTCTGCTTATAATATCTGGGAAAGGGTCTCTCTTCAGGAGTGAAGGAGTTTCTCTCTTGTCAGTATTGTGCCTTGCTTCATCCTGAATTACAGCACTGCACTGAAATGGTCAAACTTGCTTTTTTAAAAATAAACAATTTTCAAATCCAAACTCCAGCATCTGCTTACACTTAGCATCTACTGGGGAAGGCCCAGGCTTTCTTCCAGAACACCAGCCATTGAGCAGTCACCATGAGTCTGAAAGAAGTTTGCTCCTGCTGGTCGCCAATTTAGGGAGATGCAAGTGTCGCTATCTTTGGTGTAGGGTTTGCAAAACTTTCGAGATTTAGCACTCTTAAAATCTCAATTTTTTCTGCTCTAAAGAGTGACAGATGAGATAAATTTTTAAGGTAAGTCAAATTTATTACGGTGGACTGCAAGGCTCTTTTGTTTCAGGGACATTCTTGTTTTATTACATGCCATGTAAAATTTCAGACAACTTGTTTTTGGAAATGAGGGCAGCTTCTATGCAAGTCCAAGAGTCTGGGTATAAATGGGGTTACATTGGGGTGATGTTGCCACACTTACAAAGAGGAAGTCCTCAGCAATGGTGAATGAAGGTGAAGGAAGGGGACACATACAGGGTAACACAGGTGTGTGTGGGGGGGTGCCACAGAAGAACAGACCGGGAACAAAGACCATGCGAGACAAGCTGTTGATGGTTTTGACTGTGTGGATGTCGCCCAATCAGTTTTCAGAGAAGTGAGGTCAAACTGAGAGGAACCCCTTGCATGCGCAGGCACACCGGATAGTTATTGGTGTTAGTCTGGCTTTTGTGATCACTGTATAGCCTGTATGTGTCTCAGGGTGTGAAGTAAAACTTTATAGTTAGGAGAGAACAGAATGCCTGTGACTCCCAGGGGAGGCTCTGCATAAGCGTCTGATTTTAGTGGAGGAAGCTCAGAGCAGAGGCCTCCTTCTCTCTTGATGGTAAGAAATGTTTTAACAAGGTTGTGACAGGCATGATATTAACTAATTATTTTGTCACTGTTATGTGCTTCATTAGGCTATAATTTTATTTCCTTTTCTGTAAGGGTCAATCATGCGCTTCTTGATTACATGGAGATTTCCAGTCATCGTGAATTGTCAAGTGACTTTTGCTTGATTTGTGTCCCCCCCCGACCTGGGGGAGGGCTACTTTTGAAAAGCAACACCTTAGTCATCAAAGCCAAACTTCTGTAATCCAAAGTCTCATTTCAGAAAGTCTTCCATTTACACAAATTTTGTGAAGAACTCTCTTTGGTTTTATAGGAATACAACCTTTTGCAACCAAGTGACTTTTGCTTGATTTGTGCCCCCCCCAACCTGGGGGAGGGCTACTTTTGAAAAGCAACACCTTAGTCATCAAAGCCGAACTTCTGTAATCCAAAGTCTCATTTCAGAAAGTCTTCCATTTACGCAAATTTTGTGAAGAACTCTCTTTGGTTTTATAGGAATACAACCTTTTGCAATAGATACTTTTTTTCTGCAGCATTTCAAGGTTGCAAAAATATTTTCATGGGGTTAGAACTCATTTTGGAGCAATTGTGGTTTAGAGAGCTACTGGATAGAAAGTTAAACAAGAATGCTATCACGCTAATTTACAAAACATGTTTCTGAGAAATAATGTTTATAACGTCTGGTGAAGATTCAAGTTTGCAAACTGTACTGTTGTGGCTAATATGACTTTACTGAGAGAGCAGTTGGTGTGACCAGATTTCTTGAGGGAAAATATTAAACCAAAGGCTGTCATATCATCAGATTGCCATGTCAAGGTGGCAAGGAATGATGAATTCTGCATGTGAATTGAGAAACAGAGTAAATCTCTCAAATGGCTTCACTTAGAATATCTGAGACAGAAAGAAATATAGGTGAGCACTGGCTCACTGGGTGCCACTGGTCCCAGGTTTATTCCACCAATCAGAACAAAGAGTTTTACCTTCTGTTCACCAGCGTGGACGACATCATCAGCACCATGCAAGCCACATGACAAAGTCACATGATACGCACGCACATGATTGGTTGAAAGGAAAGTGGAGGAGGTCACATGGAAAATACAAAAAAATTAAAAACTGATGTAAACAATGGGCAGGGAGAAAAAAATCAACAACAAAATCACAGACTAAATAAAAGGAGAAATCAAATTAAATTAGCAGCATATATAAGGAAACATTGGGAGGGCAGTCACGCTACCCAGAAATAGGAGAATAACAAATCAAATAGGGCATTCGGTTAACAACACCAGTAAGCATTAGACAGAGTTGCAACACTGTGTATTAATACCACACCAAGGAACATGAGCACTTTTAAAATGAGGGGGACATTTCTGTCAGCACCAAGGTGTCAATCAAAGTCAATCCTGGAGACTGTTAGAGGAAAAGAAAACAAGCAAGTTATTTATTCACAGAGTCCAGAATTATCTCGGCATCCTTGGGAAGCAATGGTAGTGAAACGGGTTGTAGGGCCCCAAAGAAGAGTCCTGAAAGAACAAAAGATTGCATTTAATGAAAAGTCATTTCATGTTCGTACGGGCCAAATAGGCGAGGGAGCTGAGCGGAAGGAGGCTGATGGATACAGGACGGAGATGACAGCCTGGAGGGTCTAATTTCACTGCCCCAGAGCACAACCATGAGATTCTCAACACCCTATGGCACTTCCCAGAGTCAAGGCTCATATAGAAGCAAAAACCAGAGCAGATCAAGGACTAGAGGTTCCCTTTGGAAATTGGTAGGAAAAACTAATCCCTGGCCCCATGAACTGAGAGTCGGATATTAAAGACACACTTGGCTACATATGGATGAAATGACACCTTCAGACACATGACTGCATGGCAGGAGATGGGCTTAAGATTTACAGTGTAAAGAAATGTTTCTTGTTTGGATTTACCCACATTCTTTTCGCCCTGCGTTTTACATGGTATTACAATTTGGGACAGAATGACCCCAATTTCTTCCAAGGCATTGTGAGTTTCCTAGCCTAACTTTCACAGGTCTAGTGAGGTTTAGGCTATTGCCAGTTGAGGTTAAGAGAGAAGGGCAAAGAAAAGAGGTAGAGATACTCTCCTGCTCAAAGCACACTGCTGACTGAAAACGAGACATACTGTAGCCCAGAGACATATTCTTTTGCCACCGTGAGCTAACAGAATGTATGTTTTCTATTCTTTGTCATGGCATAGATTATATGTGACTGAGCAGTTTTCCCTTTAGATTTTATGAAACCTTTCTTCACCCATAATTATAAACACACCAACGCATATGTGCAAAAGTAGGAGATTTTGCTTATTTTCAGGACTGTAGTGAATGACTAGTGTGTTTTGAATGGTTCCAGCTACCGTTTAATGAAGCTACTGTAGCTCATATGCATTATATCTTGTCTCACCCGTGAAGAACACATTCCTGTTAACCCAGGCTGCTGTTTGTTGTGACTGCCTCTCCTTTATCTCACCATCCACTGGGACTTACGATTTGGGTCAGTAGTCAAGTGGTTCAAAATAAAACAGCCGCCAACTTTTCTTCTTTTAGATTTTACAACTAAAGCATTTTATCTGTGGGTAGAAATTCCTGATGTTTAAAAATTAAACACCCATCGGGGAGAAATACTTCACTTCTTTTTCAGGAGAAGTCTGGAGCCAAGATTGTGTTTCACTGACAGACAAAACCAAGTTACAGAGTGATAACTTTAAAATGGAAGAATTTGCAAATCACGGAGCTATCTCCTTTTGCCTGGGACAGCCGGGATGCTGGAGAATAAAGGGTGCTGTTAGCTGCATTCCTTTTGTAAATGCAAAAACCCCACAAACAAACAGAGAAACTCCAAACCCATCATCTGAATTAAATCCATGCAAATGAGTCAAGTTTATTGTCACCTCTCTGCTCTGCTGATGAAATGAAACCTCAAAGGCTTCAGGAGTTAAAATTCATTGCAGAACATGGGGAGGAACACCAAGAAAGCAGACCTTAGCTGTGTTCTGAGGGAGAAAAAAAGAACCATTTCATGCAGTACACAGAACCAGGGAACTCTTTTCTTCCTTGTTCAATTATGTATCAGAAGCCTTGGTCGGTGCGGAGTGGGACTCAGCACACCTGCCATCTGCCTTCTCCCTCGGACTACTGCTTGGTGGGAGGGACACATTCTGGCATGCATCCAGACATAGCGTAAAATCTGAAAGCCCTTACCCACCTTTGAGCGCTGGAAGATATACAAACACACAGGCACACTTACGTCCTGAGGAAGCTTAAATCCTCAGCACCTATGTGTCTTTACATTCTGAAAGCCAGTCTGGAACCTTTCAGTGCTGACTCAGTGTCAGGTTTTCATGGTGGGAAAAGGTGATGCAGTCTGGCCCTGGATTCTGTTTAGAGTGGAAACCTAGTACTTTCATCTGGACTTTCAACCCAGACAACCTCAGTCAGGGTTCTTGTTCCATCATGTTTCTAGCACTGAGGAAACAGAAGGGAGGCTCTGGCTCTTTCTAGTAAGTGCTTTGTAGGGGAGACAAAGGCAGGCAGGCTGTCAGGAGGCAGTGCTCCCCCTTCTCTAGTTTCTTTGCTCTCAGCATTTTTTGCGACGTCATTGTTAGTGAGTGGATGTGCATGTGTGCATGTGTGCGTGTGTGCGTGTGTATTTCAGAGGCAGGGAAGACAGGAGCTAGGGGAGGAGTTGCTATGCTGTGTCCCCTCCAGCTTCCCTAATCCTTTTGTTGTTGTTGTTGTTTTTAACGCAAATGTCAGTTTGGAAATTCTTCCCTGTGTGTGCAGAGTGTTCTACACATGATCACCCCTGTTCTACGGGAGGCTTCATTCGCTCTCTTGGCCAAACAGCATGCTTAGGAAATCATTTAAGGTTAGGCACCTTCATGCATTCACAACTGTTGCTTTTATTGGAAGGGCAAACAACAGGCACCACTATAACTCAGAAGTCAGCTCTGGAGCAAGCATCCAACCAGAGATGCGGCTGAGAGCAGCTGGGCTCTGTACTCACTAGACAGCTCTGTGGTTGTAAGGGCAAGAAGAGGCCAGGTTGCTATGGAAACATGAAGGACAGAAAAGATATAGAAAGGTGAAGGCAGGCAGGGAGATAAACTCATAGACCCATATGTACACACTATATATATGTCTGCATATATATATATATATTTCATATATAGACACCAGAGGTGGTGGGATACTCCTGTCTTCCCTGTCTTACTCCTGTCTTCCCTGATTTATCAATATTAATATAAATATTTTAAAGCTATCAGAGATTTTGCTCACAAAGGACTCACATAATAAGATACAACATATCCCTCAATTATTCTGTCTACTAATTCCAGTTATTAAAAGCCAGACACTGTGTTTGGGTATTTTTCTACTTAATCTTTAATTTTTACCACATGATATGCAGGAATCTACCCTTCATTTTAGAGATAAGGAATCTGAGAACTGGGGAGGCTGAGTGACTCATGCCAGGTCTTGAAGCTACGAGCAGGAGACACGAAGCAGGGACTTGAACAGAGGCTAGTCTGGTTGCAAAGCCCGAACTCCTTCGGCTCCAGAGCGTTTGCTTTCAATGGGACGATGGGAATAAATTGAATTAAAATGATGGAAAGAGGGATTTCGGCTTGGGGCTCGACTTTCTTTCTGAGGCTGAGTGCAAACCACGGGGGCTTCTGTGGTACAGGGGAGAGGAAGGCCAGCCGGCAGTGTCACCGTGCTGCTGGCTGCTCCAAGCCAATGGTGGCATACCTCACGCACCGTTCCCCCCCACTAGAAAGCTACGCCCCAAATTCCAAAGAGTGGCAGGCCTGGAGCCTCCTGTACTCCTGAGAATTCAAGAGACAAATGGATGGAACAGCAGGGAAACAAGATAAGAAAAGAGCCAGGCTCACTTTGGCCAGCTTGAGGCTGAGCCTTGGACATTCCTGCTGGGTCAGTGGTAACTATGCAGGCAGAGCAAAGCAGAGCTTGATAAATTCTGTAATGCTTGCTGTTTTCTTGGGTGTGTGGGGGGGCGGGGAGGAGGATGCTTCATTCCATTTTAGAGAAGAGGTCAGCATGCGTTGCTCGCAAAGGTAATTTGTGCAGACACCTACTGCCAGGCACATCTGGGAGCAGGGACTGTTTATTTTCCCACAAATATTTATGAGAAGTCTATGCATTTATGGATACAGTGGAAACTGTGGGCCTATCTAATTTCAGTGCTTGAGTCCAACTAAAATAAAGGGTAAAAACTCAACACCTCAAAGTATTTTATATGATCCTGCAGGCAGGGCAGATTTTTTTTCTTGGTAAATTCCTTTGGCTTTTCCAAATATCAGCTTTGGTTTGGCCTGCTGGCAATCCAGAGTACAGGGCCGGAAGAGGCAGCTTCAGGGAGGCCATTTGCAGGGTTTCCCACCTGGAGCAATGTTCATTTCTTCCTCCCCTGAATGCAAGAGGTTCTGTGCTTTGTCTCTTTCCCTTTGCTTCTCTGAAAACCTGACGTGGCTTTCCACCACCAAAGCCGAATCATCGCCTGGTGAAGCAGACACCATTCGGCAGATGAGCTGTGGCTGGTGGAAAGCCACCTGCAGGGTGATGGGGGAACAAAGTGATACTCACTAGCTGGTGAAGACAATGGAAGATGTGTGGAAGAGCTAGCAGGAGCTGCTGGAGAAAGAAAAATGAAGGTGAAATTAAAAAAAAAAGAAAGGGAAAACAGATCATTGGAGGCACACAGACGCTGAGGTGGAAAAATGCAAGTAGCAATCCTGGGGTGGCAGAGTGAAGAGACGAAGGGAGGCAAACTTGGGAGGAGAAACAATGTGTATGGATTTGGTGGCTGGCAGACCACCGGACAGCAAATAGTTCTCTTGATCTTCAAACCATGAGCCTGAAAGTCTGCCAAGCCTACTTTGCAGGTAAGGTATTGGGCCAGGAACAGATGCAGGAGCCTCAAACTCCACTTGAAAAAAATCCAGCTATTTGAGCAGGATCAGCTATGTCCACCAGACCTGAGTGACAGAAGGGCAGGGACCTGGACGTCAGCTTAATGTGAATCTTAGGGAAGAAAGAGACTGGCTTTTCATGTCACATTCTATATGTGTTTGTACACAGGCAGATATCTGTACACATGGCACATCTTTTGTGTTTGTGTACATGTTTATGTGTGTGTTTATATACATATGTATGTGTAGGTATGGAAACCAGAGGTTGATGTTCAGTCTTCCTCAATTACTGTCTACCTTACTTTAAAAATATTTTATTTTGGGGCTGGAGGGATGGCTCTGCAGTTAAGAGCACTGACTGCTCTTGCAGAGGACCTGGGTTCAATTCCCAGCACCCACATGGTGGCTAACGACCATCTGTAACTCCAGTTCCCAGGGATCTGACACCTTCTTCTGACTCTGCGGGCAATGCACGTCACGGGTACACTTATAGACACGCAGACAATACACTCATACACATAAAATAAAAATAATAAAATATTTTTTTAAATTTTATTTTAAACTAAGTGTTTATGTGTGTGTGTGTGTGTGTGTGTGTGTGTGTGTGTGTGTGTGTGTGTGTGAGGGTGCATATGTGTACGTGAGTGCAAGTGCCCATAGAGACTGGAAGAAGGCACTGGATCAGCTGGAACTGGAGATACAGCTGGTTGTAAGCCACATGATGCAGGTGCTGGGAATGAAATTTTGGTGCTCTGCAAGAGCAATATATGCTCTTAACCGCTGAGCCATCCCACCTTATTTTTTTGAGACAAGGTCTCTCACTGAACCCGGAGCTCAGCTAGGTTCAGCTAGGCTGATTGGCTGGCTAGCAAGCCCCAGAAAGTCTTTACCTCCCCAGCACTGAGATCACAGGCACACACTGCTGTACTTGCCTTTTTTACTTGGGTGCAGGGGATCAAACTCAAGTCCTTATGTCCGCATGACAAGCAATTTGCTGACTGAGTCATCGTTCTGCCCCTACCTGGTACATCTCTATCGTAAAACCTATACATCTCTGTAATTTTAATAACTGAATGAGATGGGCACAACTGTCTTCAATGACTGGATATAATAATTTTTCACACAGAAGATAATGAAAACATGGCTGCTTTCCAAAATTAGTCCTTATAGAATATGATTGCTTGTATGCCACTGGAGAGAGTGAGGTTTTACCTCATCTGGTATCATCCTTGCTCTCTCAGAGAAAGTGAATGTTGAAGAGACAGTGTCCCAACAAACAATACTAACTGACTTTCAGTTTAAAGGATGGTTAGAAATTGTGCATCTAACACACTAGGACACTGAATGGATCTTTAGGGTTTCACTGACAAATATCCTGATGTTGTCCTTCAACAACAACAAAACACAGAACTTGGTGAAAATTTGGAAAAGCATCAACATATTCCAAGTGTTGCCTTAATGATCATGGGTTGGTTTTCCAGTGACTTTCAGTTGAAGGTATCTGATGAAGCCATCAGAGTAAATGTCACTGGAGTCACAGCAAGTTAGGCTACTAAACTGCCATGATTAGGTGGCCTGGTTAATTCAGGTAACAGGCTATCTCTCTGACTTTCTTTTTTGTATCTTGAATGTATAATTGTTCATATTATTCTGGCAAAGGTCTACGTGTTTAAATCATAATACTGTAATCTATCACCTCTATCTATCACAGAGGGGGCAGTATATAAAGTCAAAAGGCTCAAGATTCCTCTTCTAAAGTGTACAATCTTTATACCTCCATAGTCTATTTCTTGGAACAGAAGCAAATTAAAAGGTACCACTCAGGGAACGAAATTCTGTAAGTGTATGATTCAGTCATAGAAATGAAAGATTCACAGTAAGCTATAAGCAGCTCTGACAGGGAAGTAGCCCCCTCCGAAGGCAAACAGATCAGGAGCTTGACAGCTGAGGGTCTTGATACCACACAGACATTTAGCCTAAAAATGCACACAACAAAACCTTTCCCCGGTTAGTTTGGTTTGTTTAGAGTCACAGGCCTCATTATCTTTACGCCCACTTATGAATTACACAGAGGAAAGTGACCCCATTATTGAGATATCTCAGTGAACTTCAGAAATGAAATAATACCAAACACTGGCCTCAACTAGTACCTCCCAAACCAGGAGTCTGGCAGTTAGCACCTCTGTTCAACACACCGTTCCTGTTGGCCCCGCATCTTCCCTTCCTTTGGGATAGGGGGTGCACTTAGGGTTCTAACCCCAGTGTCACGGGTTTGGCTATGGATGTGCATCTTTCAGTCCTATAGGATAGGAGAGTAGAGCCAGTGGGTGAGGTGAGCGAGCATCAGGATCCTGAGCCATGGGTTCTCAGGTTTGGTGTAAGCACACACAACTCAACTGATGGATGAGTTCAGGCAACCTTGGTGCCATCCAAGTAGTGAGAGTGAGAACTCAGCAGGTCCTTGCAAAGACTCACCTGCACTTTGTAGTACCAAGTAGGACTTGTCATAGCAATGGTAAACACAGGCATCATCTTTCCAAGGTATATTTTGATGGGTCTGGGCAGCAGGACATCCCTGGGCCAGACCGGCACATTAGTGACTTAGGGCAGCTTAGGAGAATACAAGGAAAGACCCCACTAAGGCTTCTTTTTTAAACATTTTATTTATTTTTATGCTTTTTGTACGAGTGTATTGCCTGCATGTATGTAAGTGGACCCATATCGTGCAATGCCCACAGAGGTCAGAAGAGGGTGTCAGATCCCCTGGGACTGGATTTATGGTGGTTGCTAACCACCATGTGGGTGCTGGGAATCGAATCTGGGTTCTCTGCAAGAGCAGCCAGGGCTCTTAACCACTGATCATCTCTGTAGTCCTACACCAAGGCTTCTTTAGTGAGGGTACTGTTCCCACATGTTCACCAAATCACTTTGCCAGGATTCTATCAAGGTACACATAATTCTAAGATTACACTTCACTTATATTCATCTAAAATAAGTTTTCTATTTCATCCTTCCTTCTTTCCTTCCTTCCTTCCTTCCCTCCCTCCCTCCCTCCTTCCTTCCTTCTTTCCTTTCACTTTTGTTTTTGATTTTTGAGACAAGGTCTTCCCATAGCACCAGAGGGCCTGGAACTTGGTATGTAGACCAGGCTATCCTTCCTTCCTTCCTTCCTTCCTTCCTTCCTTCCTTCCTTCCTTCCCTTTCCTCCTTCCTTTCTTCCCTTCCTCCTTGCCTGCACTGAGGATTGAAGTTATGGTTTTGTGTGCTGGGCAAGCGGTCTATCACTCACATATATCACCAGTCCTTTCTTTTTTTCATTTATTCTGAGACAGGGTCTTAGTAAATTTCCAAGGTGGCCTTGAACTCACTCTTTAGCTCAGGCATGCTTCGAGCTTGTGATCCTCCTTCCTCAGCCTCCCAAGAAGCCTATACCATAAGATCTAGTACTTATTAATTCTTTAAACCATACCTTTATTATATGATTGAGAAAAACTGACTTTCTGTGTCACTCTTTCTGTATCACAGCACCCCGCAGAGGACTTCTCAGTCTCCATCAATCATCCACTTTCATACTCCCAGACAATAAAGGCCTAGGTTGAGGGTACTCCTTCTTTTAAAAATTAAAAACTAAAAGTAAAAATTTTAATTAAACATTTAATTTTTAAACACTAGTTGAAAAACATAGTCTCTGCTATATTAAAAACAAACAAACAAACCAATCCCCCCAACAATCTTATCTTTATAAGAGTCAATCTGGTAATAAATGGAAACCACTATGACCTTAAACTCCAAGACCTAGTTCCTCTGAATCAACATTCCCCTGTAGTCATCGGAGTTTTCCTCAGTGGAAAGCTTATCTAGCCTTCCTCTCTCTAACTCAGTACTTGCTTACTGATCATTTCAGTCCTTAGAGAAGGACTTTGAGGACTCAGGTAAGGATTGCTGGAAGGTTCCAGAAGGAAGGAGCTCTTCCACCAGAGCTGTTCTGCCAGGGTTCCCTTGGGACATAGCTATCAGCCTGGGGCGGGGAGCTGCCAGTCCTATCTGACATCCACCCCCCCAGCCCCAACTCTGCCACCTTCCCCCACCTCTAGCTGGTGCATTCAGCACCAACTTGGCTGAGGCAGTGGATTTAACACTTGCTCAAAAAACCCTTAACAACCACATTCAGTTTTTGCTGTTGCTGCAATATTTTGGAATAAATTTTATACAGGTAAGTTCCCCTGAGTGCTTTTCAGGAGCTGGCAGCTTTTTATGAAAAGTGTGTAGCTTCCTGAAAACCTTATCTTCTAGGTCTGTGCGGTGCCCTTCTCCCTCTGTTCATCTATGCACTCAGTGTAGGAAGAGAGAGCCAAACCTCTCAAAAGTGAAGGCTGGGAACCTGTGCAGACAGAGGGGTCAGACGACAGTTCCACTCCCTCCAGCAGCCAATCAGCTCTTGTTTGCCTTGCCCCTAGCATCCTGTGTTTCCAGTTTACATAACTATGGTGTCCCTCCCATGGGGGGGGGATCCACCCTTCCTTCCATCTATACAGGAGAGTTACTAAGTTAATTAGTCAGTCATGGAAATGCACATTATAAGTAACAGTGTGAATCAAGAGAGCTGACCAGAACAGAGGGCTTCACCTCCTAGCAGCTGACTGCTGGACACAGCATATGCTACAACTCGCTGTATGCAGCTGCAGCAAGGATCTCCCCAGCCAGTAACCCCTGGTCCCCTCAGCTACTAACTAACAGAAAAGGAAGCACGGGACCTTCGTTCTTGTGCTTTCTAAAAGTAAATTGGAAAATTCTTTCTTTCTTTTTTCCTCCAAGGTATTTTAAACAGTAGTCTCATAAGCCTGGGGTCTCTTCTCTAGTACCCTGGCTAAAAATAAGGGATGCTATTATTGTGTTACTCAGAGACCATTTGTGGATTTCCACCATGCATGCATGGTTCAGCGAACATTATCTATATCACACACACACACACACACACACACACACGCACAAATTAATAAATAACATGATTTCAAAAGACACAGAAGTTGCATGCTCTAAAACAGAAGGAGTGTTAGCCTCTTGGAGTAACCGACAGACGTTAACAAGGGCACAACTAGACTAAGGTCAGTGTGGTTAAGGCCCAGACAGCATCATCTACTTCAGCATCTAGGGGACAAAAAAAAGGACCAGAACTAAATTAAGAACTAGAACTAGCAGATGTTAACACTATGGAAACAGGTAATCAGGTATGAAGAGGCACTTACGTGGAGGAGGGCTATCTGCATTTCCCATGGATGGAACACAGACGAAAAGAAAAGCCAAGAGACAGACCCAAGGGAAAAAAAATAAGATGTAAAAGAAATGAACAGAATCCGCAGAGCTCAGGGAGCTGGAGACTCAAATTATCAAATGACTTCAAATCCAGAAAGAAGCATTTCCTGTGAAAGGAAGATGAGGCAGGCTCTTCTCATGCTGGGAAGAGGGTAAGGGGGTCCTTTGGTAGCCCCCCAGGCTCCTCAGACAAAAAAAGGGTTCTCCTGTGTGCATTAAATGTGGGGTCTAGGGAGTGCCTAGGAGCTCTGTGGCCACCAGCGCCACTGAATCCTCTTCAGTCCCATGGGGTAGCAACTGTGAGCTGCAGAGGGACATGGCCAGGCAAGGCTCATCCAGAGCCTGGCTGCTGTGGGAAGCGAGGGCTAAGCTGGGCAGGCCTGGGTTAGTGGGAGAGGAAAGGATAGAGAGAACAGAGATACAGTCCTACATGGAGTCAGGGGAAAGCAGCTCTCCTGAAAGAGTCTGCGAGGCAGAGGTGGTATAAGGACTCTTGGGAGGATAGGGGGAGGGGAAGGAGTAGATGAGTTCAAGGCCCCTTTTGGATGGTAAGGATTTTGTTCTTCCTCACATATCCAATAGAAGTCTCTCTCTCTCTCTATCACTCACTTTTTTTTTTCCTGTGACTTAGTATCTCCATTGTATCAAAAATTTCCAGAAGAAATGACATGAACTGTCAATGTCTCTACTTTCCTCCATCAAGTCACAGGTGCTTGGAAACCTCTATGGCTTAGATCAGAAACCAAATCTCCCAACTCCCCTCTATAGCACTGCTGGTTTTCCCTCCCACTCTGCCACACTTAATCAGGGGTGTCCACTGGCTGTTATTCTAATAGGCTGGGCCAGCCACTCAGACAGTGTGTTCTACCTTTTTGAGTGAGAGGATGAAAGGAGTGTGTGTTAACCATCCCCTGAAAGCTGAGAGCTAAGTGGTCTACCATGAGCATGGGGCCTGGAAGACAAGAGCTGTCTTCTGAGCTCTATTAGGACCAGCTCAGGGTCCTGACTATCCCCAAGGAGAAGAGGGTGAGTGTGGAAAAGAGACAGAGCAGCTGGCTGTACTTACGGACTGGCTGTGTCTTGAACTCGGTGGCTGCACTGATCTCTCCTAGCCCCTTGCCGTTGAGGGCTGCCAGTCGCACTGCGTACCTCGTTTCAGGCTTCAGGCCCATGATGGTGACGATGCCTTCCATGTTGGCTGTGGTGAGAATATGGGATGGATTAAAAATGAGTGGAAGAGAACTGGTAAAATGATGCTGTGGAAAATGGTATGGCAAGTCCTCATAAAATGAAAAATAAATAAATAAAAATTTTTGAAAAGGTGACAATAAGGGCTACAAATGTAGGGATTTAAGAAAACCAGATTGGAACAGGAGTCAATAGTGAAAGTATTTGTGTATCAGCACAGCAAATAATAAACTGAACTGTCCAAAAAAAAAAAAAAAAAGAAAAGAAACACAACCATGGTTGGGCATATACGCAGAAAGATTGAACGCAGGGACCAAATAGATACCTGTATAGCAATGTGCATGATAGTAGTGTTCCCAGGACTCAAAAGTTACAAACAACCCAAAAAACTTATCATTGACAGATGAATGGATCAATGAAATACAGCAAGGACCAACAATGAACGGTACTTGGTCCAATAGTTAGAATGTTGACACTCGGTATAACATGGATAAATCTTGAAAACACTATGTTAAATGAAATAGGCCAGTCAAGAAAAGGACAAATATTGTATGATTCCACTCATCTGAGGTGCCTGCTATAGAGACAGAAAGTAGAATTGTGGTTACCAGGGATCAGGAGGTGAGGGAAGAAGGAATTAGCGTTTCATGGGTAAAGAATTTCAGTTTGAGATGATGGGAAAGTTCTGGAGATGAATCATGATGATGGTTGTGATTTAATGCTATTCAATAGTACATTTAAAAGTGGCTAAATGTAAAATTTATGCAGATTTTGCCACAATTAAAAATAACCAGAGTGATTTTTTTTTTTTTTTTTTAAAGAAGGGGCTGGGGCGATGGCTCAGTGGTAAAATGCGTGGTGCATAAGCACAAAGGTCTGAGTTTGGAGCCTCACAACCCACATACAAAGCCAGGGTGGCAGATGGTCTTGTAGGCCCAGCACTGGAGTGTGATGGGATGTTGGAACAGATGGATCCCTGAAGCTCATTGGACAGCCAGCCTAGCCAAATCCACGAATTTCAGGGTCAATGAGAGATTCTGTCTCAACAATTAAAGGTGAGGAGTGATGGAGTCAAGACACCCAATGTTGTCAGCCTCAGGTTTCCACAAGCAGATGTGCGCATGTGCACTCACACATGTGTATACATCCATATTGGCAAGAACACACACAAATAGAAATAAAGAAAGAAAAGAAAAAGGAGAGACAGATGGGGGGTAGGAGGGAGAATAAGAGGGAGAGAGATGAGCAGAGACTGGTAGAGATTGTTCAGTTGGGCAGCCAGTATGAGATTTCATAGGGAGCTAGGAGGATGAGAGGGTTGTTCTCTACCGGTTCATTTTTGCCTGATTACACATCAGTTCCTCCTTTCCTACCATCCAGAAGGTGATGGCACAATTAGAAGCTTCATAGAAGAACTAACTCTCAGGAGAACTGCTGTTGGGCCTGTCTCTGAATGGTTGTGACCTCCTTAGTCCATGCCCAATGCACTTAGTCTCCCTCTACCAGACTAGGTGCCGACATTTGTAGAGAAATGAAATATGCTTTGCAAACTATTTCAGCGCATAACCTAGGAAGGAGTTAGACATAAATGTACTCTATTTTCAAATGGTCTCAGCTCAGATCTTCAAAATGCAGCAATCTAGGTGTTATTTTCTCAATTTGAAGCTTGAAACACATCATGGGATCGATTTAACGTGGAAAATATTATAGGATTGATTCGGAGAAGATTTGTTATCTTGCTAGCCTGGTTACTGTCATCATCACATGGCATTCCTGGGACGGACGCCTAAGCAACGATGGTCAGGTGTCCTCAGAGAGGAAGCAGAGCAGAGACACCCTGCATTTATCTGGTTGTGCTCAACATTGAACCAGGGCTTCTGTCTGGAAAGCAGATGAGATGTCTTTGTCCTGGCAAAGTCATGAGAAATAGGTTCTGAAGCAGAATCGGGCAGAAGGTCAACAACCCTATGGACACATGACCATGACCTAATTCTGGAGGGTCCTAATTCTGAAAATTCTTTATTCTCCTGGATGGGATGACAAATGGTGACATCCAGCATGCTTCAGTAGATAACTGTGGTGTGCCACCCTAGCTACAAGGTTAGCATCGAGCTGGTGAATGCTGAGGGTGTGTATGACACACTTGGTATGATGGGAGATGCCCACTCTTCCCAACTCACCTTCTTTGGCATCATACCACTTGAAATGCCACGCTTCTTCACCCAGCGACTTCCATTCAGCCTTGTACTTGAGGATGGGCACTCCACCTGTGGCTTCTGGCTCATCAAACTGTACCTGTGCTGTACTGGAGTAAGGCTCCACTCGGTCAATGGATGGTGAAGATGGAGTGTCTGTGAGGAAGACACATGTGGACACCCAGGTAGGCCACTTTGAGCCGGAACCAACCCCCCCCCCCAATTTGGAACACATCTTTCATGCGCTGTTCCCTCTGGGGGATACTTTCCAAGAGTGGGAGTCCCAATTTTGGAGATTCTATCCTCCTAGCCCACTTCACCATAATTCTCCCATAGCTAGATTCTCACATCTCCAGTGACTCCCTGCATCATGACCATCTGGCTTTGTGGACCCTGGGTGTCTTTTTCCCACTTCACTGGTATCCTTAAAGTATAGGAGTCAGGCCAGGAAGGATGAGGATAGCATAGAAACAGCCATGAGGGCACTCACCTGCTTGAACAAGGATGAATTCCAAGGACTCCTGTCCAATGCGGTTTACTGCTGTGCAGTTGTAGTTTCCAAAGTCATTTTCAGAGTCAGGGGTCACCTTTAGAAGGAAGGATTCCTTGGGTTAAAAATGTCGCATGGATGGCCACAGACTCAGATATTTATTTACTGGATTAAATTAATAAAGAACAGAACTAGTAATAATGTACACATTATTAATTCCAGCTCAGCCTTGAATTAGAGAGAAGAGCCCAAGGACTCACAGAAGAGGCACATTACATCTCCCTGTCTCAGCCTAGCCACATGGTTGAGACCAGTGAGGCTGAGGATGGAAACCTAGAAGGAGGCTCAGTTTCTTCTCCAGCCAATGGCTTCCCAGTTCAAGATGTGCTAGGGAAGCAGGAGAGATGATGGGACCCTGCACATCATCAGAGCCTGCTTTATCTTCTCCTGACCCTGACTCACCTCCAGATAGCTGGCAGATGGGGTGTTGTAGATCTTAATATTGCTGTAGTTGGAGCTTGGCAGCAACTGACCATCTCGGAACCAGGAGATTGTGGCACTTGGGTAAGCAAAGACCTCACAGGTGATGTTCACTTGGTTCCCCTCCCAAGTGTACACAGCCACTGGGCCCTGGAGCTTGGGGGCATCTGCAATAAATGACAATGACTGTCAGAATGGCCACCACTTTTTTGGAGCCCCTAAAATCTGTTTTCTGGTACTGGGGAGGTGTGCATGGCATAAAGCAGAGCTAGGGCCTGGAGCAGTAGAGCTCAGTGCCATTTGGCATTCATGTGCACATGCTATTTTGGAAGATTCCGAGCAGGATAGGCTTGTGAGACGCTTCAGGATGTGTAGTGGCAGTCTTGAGGACACAGCTCTGTAACAGTTGAGGGTGAACTGCCAGGGAAGGAACTTGGCTGAGCTCACTGGTACAGCTGAGTTGCTGTCTCTAGCATCCTAACCCTTTACTGCTCCTCCCTCCCCCCAGTCTTTCCCTAGTTATTCCTCACATTGCACTTCAAGGTACATGGACTGGGAGTCCTGGCCAATGGTATTGCTGGCAGTGCAGATGTATTCTCCGGCATCTGTGTACTGGATGCTCTTCAGGGTCAGGGATGACACACGAGCATGGCTGCGTACCACCATGTGCCCATCCAGGGTCTGCAGGGAGGAAAGGGACAGTGTGAGTCCAGAGTGAGCAGAGGGCAGGGGCAACTACAACAGAGTGGGCTAGGAGACTAGGCCATTGCATCCCTGTGACCGGTCTTCAGGCCTCTCTCTGTGTCAACTTCTAATCTTGCTTCACCTATCTCATAATAGGGGCGGCTCTACAAGCACATGTAGCTAAACCAGAATATCGGACTAGGTTATGTCAAATGACCTGAACTATGTACCAAAATTGGTTTGGGGAAAAATGAGCTCCCTCAAGACTAGTTTGAGATGTGTTAAAATGGAAGCAAAAGCTGTTGCCTGCCACAGGTTAGAGCAGCAAGGGCTTTGCCTTTTGAGATCCTGGAAAACTTGCACTCTGGTCCTTTCCTTCTAGCCTGCTCCCCCTAGTTCCATTATGTGTGCTTGTGTAATGGGAAAACCCAGTGTTCCCAACGTAAGAAATTATGCAAGAACCCCTTCCTGCAAATGTTGCTCTTTCTTGGGTGCTTGAAGGCAAAACAATTCCATTTTGAAAAGGCAACAGCTCAGAGCTCAGGCACTGACAAGCTCGAGGTAGGGGCCATGCATTCCCCTTGCAAAGAACAGTGGCAAAGAGAGCCCCAAGCCCACCTGAGATCTTTTGTACCAAAGTCTTCACCATTCCCTAATCTTTGCTATTACTATTGAGTTTAGAATAACAATGATTGGCTAAGGAAAGATAAGCACAGAATCCTTAGGTGATGGGTACTAGATTATTTCCAAGAGTTCCCTCCTTGATATTCTAAATAAATGGGTTGCTGCCCTGGAAGGATCTAGGCATTTGGCCCAGGGCCAGATCCTTGATAACATTGGTAACCTGAAGAAGGGCCCTGCTACCACCATCTTAACTGTATCTTAGGACCTTTTGTAGAATAGACGGGAGGGTTTGTTGCACCTGTCATTTTCCATCCTGTGGGGTTTGGTCTTTAGAGATTGAAAGGACACTCGAAGCTAGGTGTGGTGGTACACACCATCAGTCCCAGTGCTGGGGAGGCAGAGGCAGGTGGATCTCTGTGAGATCAAGGCCAGCCTGGTCTACATAGCTAGTGCCAGGGCCAGCTGGGGATATAGGGAGACCTGTCTCAGAAAGACCAAAAAAAAAAAACAAACCCAAAACAAAACAAAAAAAACGGACACTTGACCAGGCTCTTTGGTATGTTGGTGTAGAATCCTAGGGAGCAGAACTGCAGTCCTATGCCAGCCACTCTGGGAAGCACCAAAGAAAGGTCCCCCTGGTCTTATGCAGTAGGTCTCAGCAGATCTATGGCATGAAGTGCCTTTCACCATCAGTAATAGATCTGGTCTGTTTCAGTTATCTAAGTGTATCTGGAAGCTAGAATGTGCTCCCAATCAAGGACCAGGGAAAACCATGACTGTCTACTGCTACTGCTATGGGCATCTCTCCTCTGAGATGAACACTCTGGTGTGCTCACTTGACATGTAAATCTGGGAGACTTGATCAAGAAAGCTACAACCCAGGAGATGGCACCCTTTAATGACTGGTGACTGCAGACGGTCCAACAGACTGTCCATCCTAGTGGGCCAAAATATGACTACAGTGACTAGTGGGCCAATGACTGGTGACTGTAGAGAATCCACCCTAGGGGGCCAAAATTTGTTTGTATTCCAAACAAAACATTTACCAAAAATATGTATTAGGTCTACCTAGAACAGGAAGCCATTCTTACAGATACCTCTAAGAAACTGCCTGACCTGTTTGTCACTCCTATTTGCCTAAAGCACAACAGAACTGAAGGGACAATTCAAGTCCATTTATTGCCTTGTCAACCATGAGATGAACTGGGATTCTTTGTGACGCAGGGACTTTCCCTGGGACTGCCATACACATAATTCTCAGGCGGACATTTCCACATGAAAGAGAGGTAAAGAGAGTCACGGGGAAAGAACAGATGTTAATGAGAAAGCAAAGAATGAATAGTTTCTTTTCAGAATGTTCCAGAAAGTGGTTGAAGATAAGCTCAGGAAATGGTTGTAAAGGCATTTTTTTAAAATCTGAAATTCTTTTCTACGTCTTTCTGTGTGGAGATTTCTCTCATTTAATGATATCATCTGAGCAATCCTCTGTAGGGAATTCTCATTTTGCAATGGCTCACTGAAGGTTTGATGATGGGATTCTTTGCCAGATGTCCAGTCATGCCTTGGAGGATACATGGATAGACTCTAGTGTGATTGGATTATCCCACCCTGAAATGCTTTCCTCTGTCACAGTGACAAATTCAGAGAGTGTCATCCATAAGATTCTCTAATGAAAAGTTATGATGACCACTCAGGATCTCTCAGAGGGAGCAGCTGAGCTCGGGGCACAAGTGAAATGAACACTACAGCAAAGGGTCTTTCTTTCTTAAAAAACAACAACAACAACCAAAAAACATATAATGGGTGACTTTAATTATTCTCATAAAAACGTTTTTGTCTCTTCTCTTTCAGGTAAAAGTGCTAAGCCTTTCAGAGCTTACAGAATGAGCCTGGCCAGACACAAACCTGCCTTTGTACTCATTTGGCCTATGGTCTTCATATCTGAATGAGTCAAAGAGGAGAAAATAGAACCTCTGAGCCCCATGGGCAGCATTCACTTGAAAGTCAATTATGTCCAAAGTGAAACATTCAATATAAAAGACTCTTCTGGAAAATGGAGTGGGGTATCTGCTTTCTTGGGAGCAAATCTATTATTTCCACTTATAATGATAATTCACTTAACATCACTTTAATGTTCCCTGATAAATCTCAGATCCTCCTCAAACCAGGTCTATATCAGAATGACACAGGGAAGATGCACAGGACAAAGCAGAAAGAGATCCGCTGCTGAAGACAAGTCACTAACTCTCCTCTCTCTTCCCCAATCCTTATGAGGCCATGGCTTTTAGACAGTAAAATACCCAGCCTATGACAGTACTAAGTGATTCCAAGGTCACAGGGGGGGCATTTTAGTGAGGATGTGAGCTTAACTATAGTCCCTATGACATTAAGGAAGGCACAGTACAGACAGAACTTAGAAAGAACCAGATTTGATGATGGCAGAAGCTCATGTCCAGAAACAAATATCCCTGCCTGAAGACAGGCAGTCAACTTTTAAAAATTAAGCAGTATTCAATTTTGTAGCCATGATCTGAACACAAGAGTTATATGTTCTGAATCACCCTGAAAGACTGAGAGGATGGATTCTCTGAATTAAAATATAGAGTTGATTTGAGTCTTCTGTGTTTATAGTTTTTAGTATCAAAGTAGTGTCATTTGGAGAAAGACACAAAAGTGACTTTAATAAAAAGCATTCATAAATTACATCTTTGAACAATACCCAGCCTATGACAGTACTAAGTGATTCCAAGGTCACAGGGGGGGGCATTTTAGTGAGGATGTGAGCTTAACTATAGTCCCTATGACATTAAGGAAGGCACAGTACAGACAGAACTTAGAAAGAACCAGATTTGATGATGGCAGAAGCTCATGTCCAGAAACAAATATCCCTGCCTGAAGACAGGCAGTCAACTTTTAAAAATTAAGCAGTATTCAATTTTGTAGCCATGATCTGAACACAAGAGTTATATGTTCTGAATCACCCTGAAAGACTGAGAGGATGGATTCTCTGAATTAAAATATAGAGTTGATTTGAGTCTTCTGTGTTTATAGTTTTTAGTATCAAAGTAGTGTCATTTGGAGAAAGACACAAAAGTGACTTTAATAAAAAGCATTCATAAATTACATCTTTGAACCTCATGCAAAGGCAGTTGGTTCTTTAGTGTGTAGGGTGTGTGGGTGGGGGGTATGTACATGGTGTGTACAGGTACCCATGTGTGTGTGCATGTGGAAGTTAGAGGTTAACCTCAAGAGTTGTTCCTCTGGAGCCACCTTGTTTTTGAGACAATCTGTCATTGGGATCTAGGGCTCACTGACTAGGCCAAACTGCTGGCTGGGTGCCAGAGATCCACCTGTTTCTGCCTCCTCAGTGTTGAAATTACAAGCATACAACAGCATGCTTGGCTTTTTACATGAGCATTGGGGATTTAATTCAGGTCCTTGTACTTTTTGGCATGCACCTTACTGACAGAGTTATCTCCCTAGTCTCTGGGGATGAAAACTGGTTTTCATTTTACTATTGGTCACTTGAGTTATACACAAATCAGATAAAGTAAGAGTGGGCATGATCATAAAGGGTCTTGGAATATAGCATTGAAAATCTAGAGGAATCTATGAAATGCTTAGCTTCAGTTTTCTACCTGATTTCCATATCACCTAAAGCAAGTAGGCAGAGGAATTTCAAAAGCTAAATTCTACTGACTTTACAAAACATAAACCCATTTGTGCAAAATCATTCTAATCTCATAAATGTAATGCACTATAAAAATAACAGATAAGTTGAACAGTTCGGGAAAACCACTGAGAGATGTCGTTGGTGCTGCTTTTGACATGAAATGTGATGTGATAATTTACCAAGACCAGTCATTATCAAATAAGTGAGCAACAAGATGAGTTGAGCTGGAAAGGAAAGGGCTGAGTGGGTTTTACATCACTCACTTTCTGACTTTATGGTCCAAAGCCACAGCCACCAGGTGAAAGTTAAAAAAAAATTCATCGTTTCAAAGTGCCTGGCTTGGGAATTGGGGCAATTTATTTCTATGGATATAATTACCTGGATGTGATTTTACCAGCACCAGCAAGAGAATAATATCCAGTTTTAGGAACTAATAAGGATTTGTTCATCCACTCCCAACACAGCTTGCTTGCTCATCCTAGAATTGACACTACTGCTAGGTAATGTCTACCACTATTGACCTAATCTTTAATCTAACTAAAGTACTCATTAGTTCAGCAAATCTGGTTATTAACTGTGATGGTGAGTTAAAACTGCAATGCTTTTGAAACTAAAGACTGGCTAGTGGTCAGGTAAGCTATACCTCTTGCTTCTCTGGTCGAGTCCACGAAGCCTGGAGAGGACAAGATATAAAACACAACAAGAAAGCAGTAAAATTTCACAACATGTTGCTTTAGAGAACCGATGAATCACACTGCATTCCGTGCACATGCAGTTTCTTTTTAATTCAGAACTTTTTCCAAGGCCCACGTTCAACTATGTGTTTATCCCCCAATTTTAATTCAGAAGTTAGTTGATGTTCACCCCTCCCCCATGCACATTAAAATATTTAATTCAAAGGGGCAGGCTTTCCTAAGCTCTGGTAGAAATATATGATGTATACAGGAAGGCATATTCCACGACTCCTATTGCAAGCATCTTAAATAGTCTTCAATATTTGATGACAGTACCAGTTCTCACCAAATAATCTCGAGTTATTCAGAGCTTTTTCCTTCTGTAAATGTTTTAGACAGCTTATCACAAATATACTAATGTAATTTAATGCTCATGCATTTTGTAACTCTGCATGCATTCAATTAAAAGTAAAATTTTGTTTTAAAAAAGGGAACAGAGCAAGCCACAGAGATACGTTTGGAATGAGATATGAAGTCTTTGTGTCTATGGGTCACGAAGCTTTGAGGATACGAAATGCTGGGTGCTTGTGGTAGGGTTTCAGTCCTTAAAGGCAGAGAAGGCACAGATGGCACATGGGTGAAGGCATGTACCATCTTCATCTAACGTGACACTCACAAGGGAGTGAGATGCCTCACAGACATGGGTGTTTGGAGAACTTTCCACCCATGTCTAGATTTGTTCATTTATCCAGCACATGAATATCTACTGTGCTTCATTTCCCTGTTTTCAAACTAGGAGCAAAGAGATTATAATTGTACTTGTCTTTTCATTGGATGACATCACTGATTGGTTGTCCCTGATGTTCTGATGGCAAAGGACAGAAAAGATACTGGAAACAGGGAATGTAAATGAGTTAGCAAACACTAAGTCCACTAAATGCAAGACAGTGTTCTGAGACATGAAGATGGAAATGCTGGGTTACGTCACATGATGCTGAGATGAAGGAGAACAGAGGAACATGCACAGACCAGGCTAACAGTGGGCCGACACGCCAGATGTAGTTGCCAGTTCCACAACACTAGAAAGCTTGTCTGTCACATGCCAGGGCTGTGTCAATCAAGGTCTTTTCTTTTATTCTTAAACTCAGCTATCGCATATGTGGTCGTTAGTTGTCAAGTCTGATGCTTTGGTGTCTCTCTCCCAGACCACTAGAGTTCTGTGGCTTTTAGAATACGCTGTTGCTAGGGGCACAATATTTTAGTGGCCTGACTCTTCTCTGCTTGGCTGGTAGAATGGAGGTAATGTCTATCTTGGCCTTAATAATTTGTTGACAGTGCAACTCATTTGAAGGCAATCTGATATTAAAATATACATACTAAGGAAATAAATTAGGATATGATTATTTATCCTCCAAATACTGTTGGTTCTTGGTTGTTTTAATATTCATGTTTTGTTATATATGCAAGTCTACAAGAATATGTATGTTGTTAAAAAAATCATTTTTGTAACTATCTCAAGTATTGCTTATTATTCTTTTGCCTACATCTTGGATCCATCAGGGATCAGGATCTGATTCCTCTATGCAAATGTTTTCTAGTGCAGAGAAGGGGGCAATGAACTTGTACCAAATCAGAAATTCTATCTAGTAAAAAGAAAGGTTTGGCGTCCAAAGAATTCAGGATTTCAAAATGTCTCTTGTTTGTGGACATGGTCAGCCCAAGGTGCAAGCTTCCCAAGATGCCTTTCATTTCCTATCTATCACTTCTGATCTCAACTCTCTACCCATCTTGTTTTCCTTAATCATTAAGGCTTCACACACACTTTTCTTTGGCGTCACCTCAAAGGCACAAAGGTGTTCAAATAGGAAATGATAGGTTCTTTTTTGTTCTGCCAGGGATTGAGTATGCAGATCATCATCCCTGGGTCTCACTCGATATGTAAATGCTGCCTGGAATTTAGCAACACTCTCAAACACCTGGCAGTATTTAAGATGACTCTGTACAGGGTGAAGAATGACATGGCACAGATGTATAAACTTTCTGGAGCATCCCAAATACCTTCCACATGCTCACATTATCCCATAATGGTGTTCAGTTTTGTTTTTTTTTCCCCCTCAGGATAAGAGTGACTACTAAGAAAGGGACCAATTTTTGAACATTTTTCTACCTCATTGATCTCAGTCATCCAAACACTCAGGCTTAGCTTCACCATTACTAGCTGCTGACCAAAACCAACTCAACTCTTGGAAGCTTACTGAATTGATGCAATCTTTCTCTAATTATTGATTACACTGAGTCCAATGACATGATCATGAATTGATGCAATCTTTCTCCAACTATTGATTAGACTGAATCCAATACATGATCAAGGTTATGATATGACCGTGTTCATTTTGGATTCCTTCCTTCCTTCCTTCCTTCCTTCCTTCCTTCCTTCCTTCCTTCCTTCCTTCCTCCCTCCCTCCCTCCCTTTTGTAAGGAAGCGATTTTGATATTCCATTAGGAAGTGGCTACATATCTATGAGTGAAATCCATGTTTCCCCCTTCTAATAAGAAGGGTGGTCTCAGACCCAATTGATGACACAAAGGGCAAAGTGGCTTAAATTCATTTATACTGTAAGTGACTTTACTAAAGGAATCTGAACCTCCCATTAAACCCATCAGAATTATAGGAGAAGCCCATAGCACCAGTATACTACTTTCTGAGCTACTGACTCAGATAGACACCTTTGAAGGTGTCTCTGACTAAGAGCTTATCCCGTCAATATTCTTATCAATGACTTAAGATAAAAGTATTTCAAATAAGAATTCACACAAGTTTGGAAGCAACAGTAGTACAATGTTAGGTGACAGCTGCATTGAGAAAACTTCTGAATACTTGCTCTTGCACTTTATGCTTAGAGCTGGGGTCACTCATTGGCAGCTCCATTTCATTATTTTTAATATGCATACATAAAATAGGGGGACCTGACATACAGACGTGTAAGGAAAATGCCCACGAAAGCCAATCCTGACTGGTTAGAAAGACGGTCTGAAATAGTAGTTCACAAGACAGGGTGTATTTGTACAAGTCCCCTTTAGTAAATATTACAGGTGGTTACTGGTATTTAAGGGGGAGGAGGTGAGAAATGGTAAACATCTTGCAAAACATCAGCCAGTCCCGGTGTAGGAAGACACTATCTTTCTTTCTTTCTTTCTTTCTTTCTTTCTTTCTTTCTTTCTTTCT